ACCTTCACTGTTGTAGGTGAATAAAAATAAGAATACCACACTAGTCTAAAATGCTTTTCATTTAACAATTTTTTAAAGTTTTTTAAAATGTTGATAAAACATGTGAATCTCTTTAAGTGTCTCCACCAATCACTTAATTTGAAAATAGCATTCCTTCTGAAATAACATGGTGACTTTCAAGCACTAACTTCTGTGAGTTTTTTTAATGCTTATCTAACCAGTTGTTCCTAAAGAAATTTAATTACCTCTTCAGTCAATGCATCTCCCTCATATTATGTCCCATCTTCTTTTCTAATTCCCTGTATTAATTGTCCAAATTAATACTTTTTTCTATTTAAAAATAAAGCTTTAAAACCTCAAAGAAAAACAAAATTTTCTACACAGCCAATACTTAAGGGAAAAATACACCCTACAATATGAGGCTAAGAGTCACACAATGATGTGGATACTACAGACAACAGCAAGAGAAAAAAATCTAATTTTTATTTGAAATAGGTGATTTATGCCAATTTTGGCATAAATGTAAGCTGTGTAGCTGGGTACCTCAAGATTTCAGTTCACACATAAATGTGACATAAGCTTAGAAAATTACATAAAAATTAGACTATACGAAGCCTTGTTTCTCACATTATGTAGATAACAAATGTGAAGAACAGATTACATGAAGTGATTGGGTTTAGATAAAGAGAGTGATACAAAAAAAAAATAAATAAAGCCAAAACAGACCCTACCTTTTTTAAAACTATTTTTTTATTACTTGAGTAGGCAAGAGCAATGTTAATGTTCGTATATCTAATCTCCTAACAAAATATCTAGCACCTGTTAACTTCTATTATTAGGCGATATGATATGCCCTTTGTTTAGACCTGTATACTGTTTATTGATGCATCTATTGACCGTATTTGTCTAAAGCTTTGACTTTGGGCCCTCTGAGGATTCTCAATTGCTTAATATTTTAGTGGAAAATTCATTTAATGCAGATATTTTCATAATAATCAGAGCACTTATATTTGGCTTACTGTGTATCTTAGTCTAAATTCATCCATAATTGTATGTTTAACAATGACTTATTCATTGTCTACTGTGAATAAAGCTATGAGGGACTTGCATTAAGTCAAGTGTTAATCCTGCCCCTGCCTTCAAGTATACATGAAACTTAGTGCACCATATCCTTAATACATGTCCTTAAACGGCCATATCCTTAATACATGTCCTTAAACGGCCATAAAACAAGATGGAAGGAGTGCACCATATCCTTAATACATGTCCTTAAATGGCCATAAAACAAGATGGAAGGAGTGCACCATATCCTTAATACATGTCCTTAAACGGCCATAAAACAAGATGGAAGGAGGTTTGTCCTTAGACATTTGGTTTCACAGAAGGAAGAAATTATTTTCTCTGTAATAGAACAGGGAAAGATCCATGGAGAAGTTTAACATTTGAATCAGCTGTTAAGGAAATCAGTATAATCTGGCTGTGGGGAAACACCTGAAATGGTACCAGCTGAGAGGCAAGGAGACCAAAAGACTATGTGGAGGGAGACAAGGGGTGTGGAAGGAGTTATAAGGAATCATGGCAGAAGTGTGAACGTGATTAGAAATACTTTCACATGATTATATGAAAACTGAGTTATGACAGTCCTTAGATTAGAGATTTATTTAAGATCTTGAAATGAGAACTTGAAAAACAGACCTGGATTTGAAGTCTAGATATTTATGACGACTCTTTCTACAGGGACCCTGATTAGGAAGAATAAAATAGGAAACCTTGCTGCTTAATTTAGCACAATCTCTTCTAGCCATTTTTGAGTAAAATTAAGATAGAAAATTCTTTCAGAAACAAAAAGAAGATTTCTTCTTTATATTAGTGTCAATTGTTGAACATATGGGTAGGAGAAGCTTGAGTTATACAGAATAAACTAGAAAAAGTAATTACAATACTAATGGTAGTAACTAATGTTTATGGATTGCATACCAAAGCAAGGGACTTTTCTAAGCATTTTACACATATGAGCTTGATTTACATATTTTTATCCTATTTTCCAAGTTAGAAAACTGAGGCACAGAAAGAGTAAGTAACTTGCTCATGACAATGTAGCCGGTAATTGTTGGAGCAGACATTTGAAGTCATTAAGGACATCATATTTTATAACAAGGAAAGAATTCACAAATATCCACCCACGTCCAAGAGCTAGCCAGTTAAGGTTTAAAATTAGTATCTTTAGAGGGATCTTTCAAATGCAAAATAAGAATAATAAAAGCAACTTTCTGTCATTTTTGGCTGAAAAGAAATTGACATAGAAAAAATTTATTTGAATTAATTATAATTTCTAAATGAGACTAGACATCATTAATGAAAAAAGAGCAAGGATGTGAATAATAATATGGTGCTTTAGTTATTTCTTGCTCATTTATATTTTAATGTGATTATTCATGGTTAATGAATCTTGGGGATTTCGTAAATGTGCACTGTTTCTTCAAGTGACCTATTGATGGCTGCTCAGAAACTAGCTCTATTTTAGGTTCTAAATAGCCCAGTAAAAATATTTTGCCAGTACAGCCTCAAATAATTTTGGATCCTCTGGGAAAATAGGGATTCTCCCCATTACAGGATGGGTGTCTGACTGTCCTTGAATAGGTGGCCCAGGAGCTTGTCGTTAAATCAGATGCAGTGGGTTCGAATTTTACCAATCAAACACTGAAAAACGTTCCTTGTTTTTGTGAAAGTGAGCTCCACGCAACTCAAGAATTTCCATTTCCCTCTGGTAGCAGGGACCTGCTAATTGACCTTGCTAATTCAAGTATCTCATTCATTTCTACCTTAAACTCAGTTAATTAGGATTTGCCCAACCTAACCCCCTTTCCTTTCCTATTTCTAGGGAACATCATGGCATAGGAGCAATGGGGCATCAGGCATGTAAAGAAGCTTGGCTAGCGAGGGTCTAGCCCATGGTTGTCTTTTTTCTTACCGGTCTTTGCTGAGGGGTAATTATTTCCAACAGGATGGATTGATTCCTCAGTCCCCACTGCATCTATTGCTATGTCAGAAGTATTTCCAGGACCTCCAATTCCACCACTCTGTCTTCCTGTCCCTAAGTCAAGGATTCTTCTGATTCAATAGCCCATTTAGCCATCTCAATATCCAACTAATTAGAGTCAGGATTTCTCTGTTGCCTTCTTTGAGTCTCTCTAGGGGATTGTGGGAAGCCCCTGAATTCATCCACCGAGAATTTGCTCAGACATTGCTGTTTTATCTCTGTGATGCCATGTCTGATAATGAGATGCTCCACATGGTTATACCCTGAGAAGCTGGTAGATAACTCCTTCTGCTTGGGAACACCTATAGCATTAACCAAGAATTCTACCATTCTTCTTGATAATACTTGCTCCAGTACCCCCATATCTTTCCCCAATTCCTGTGTTAAATGCAACATACTTCTTTTTGACTCATGCTTTCTTCACTGAACTCACCCCTTTGTGGGCATTTTCATAATATTCATTATGCCACATTTTTCAATCTAATTATCTTTTTTCATTCATCCTTCACTTCAAAAACCACATCTTCTTATGTGTGGTTATATATCACTTAAGGAATACAGTAAAATCACCCCTCATAATACTGAATATTTAAAACTTTTAAAAGTTGCATTCTTCCATTTTATTTCCTTATACGTTTTGCCTTTTGTGTTTTTGCGGTGCTAATTTGTTGTGCATGACAAACGTGTTATTAAAGATGTGCCTATCACTCAATTTGTGTGTTGCATAGTCTATTTCACTGTTAAAAATTACTTCAATTTTTTTCAGAGTACAAATTACTTGACCAATGAACTGTCACAAAAGATATGTGTAAAGTAACTGAAATGATTGTGATTTTGTAGTGGTTATATATTTATCAAAACTCACTCATGAAACAAGACTTAGGCAACATGATGTTATTTTTCAGATCCATTCTCCCTGCTTCAGCACTCGCTCTGGACAAAGAAAATATTTTTTAAAATGCACATTAACTCTCTTAGACCACTAAGTGCTATGCAATATATAAAAAAGTGACCTGTTTTTAATATACTGCCTTGAATGCCTAACAACATAAAAGAGTACCTCCTTAACTTGAGAGAGAAGCTAAATTATTATTCGGTCATATTTGGGTCTAAATAATATTCTTTTACAAAATGACATAGAATTTAAAATCATGATCACCTTAGCTAAAAGCATAACACATTATACATTACTGATTTATTATATTTTTCTGATTTTAATCTAGAACTCTTTCAGAAAGAGCCATACCCTTAACTTATAATGCATTTAACACAATCTCTGTTGCAGGTTACTTAGTTATAGAAAATCCATCAAGTAAGTTTGTTAAATATCTTTTCTTCTTTTTGAATGTCAACTTTAGACTCACTGATTCGATGAATCTTAATGTGTGGTTCCTTTTTTGTATGTTTGTTAAAAAACCTCCAAGCTGGATATAAATCATAAAAGCATGACTAATTGCATGGTAACTGGAGAAATGCTTTCTCTCTCTCTGGGGCGAAGCCTGCATGTCTGTATTTTAGCTTGGGAAGTAATACAGGGATATTTAAACTCCTTGGGGTTTAAAAACCATGTCATTATGAGAATGAGGTCACTGCAATATTTTATATCTTCTAAAACCTTGTAATGTATAAAATGTTTTCTGTATGACAAAGAGGTATTATGTGCCTTAGGATCCAATGATAACTTTATGCCCTTACATTTACTTAAAAAACTTTCTTCATTAACATGTTAAATCATTCATTTAAAGTGACTTACAAATTGAAGGATTGAACCATGAATACAAAGAAAGTGAACTTTAAAGGGAAAAGTTAATTCTGTCAATATGACAGAGTGACTTTCAAGGGCTGTTTGGTTTATGAGCTTTGAAATGTCCGTTGTTCTTTAACTTGTTAGCCGTGCCCATGACAAAGCGAAAGCACGCAATCTAACATGATTCCATTTTATACCTTTCTTTGCTTGGAGGCCGATAAGCAAGAAATCTTTCCTGCAACATGTTGAAGAGCTTTGCACAAATAACAACCTAAAGTTTCAAGAAGAATTTTCGGTATGTTACTAGCAGTTGTCACAACATTGCCAGACCTCCAGTCGTTTCATGTGTCACATTTCATGTCCATTTTAAGCATGCAAGGCCATGAAGGACCCTGGCCTTGATAATCAATACCCAATTACCAGGTTGATTGTTTGGATAGTAATGTTACCCTGGCAGCCTCTGCTGCAACCTGAACAGAAGTATTCACCTGCTGTGTCAGGAAAAGACGCACTTCTTCAGACGGCCCCAGCAACGGCATCCTGGTCCCGTTTCTTCTCTGCTCTCTCATCCACATGTGGATGCGAGTCTAGAATGGTGTATTCATTAGACTTTTGCTTGTGCACGAGGTTTAGGTTATACTATAAATATAGTTTTATATTTAAATAATTATTTTATATTTAAACACTAAATAATTCCAATTTATATTTGCCTGCTTTCTTCATGCTAGTGGAATAGATGAGAACAGAACCTAATGTTTCCAGAAACTATAAAAATAATGTTATTTCTAGAAATGTACCAAAATAAAAAACACATAAGTAATCTACATGTTTTACAAGGCCTATTTTTAAGTTACTATGGAATAAATGCCATTTCACATTATGGAGAATATGTAAAGTTAAGAACTTGTCACCTAAAAACTGTTTAAAAGTTAGGAAGAACTTTGTTGCGTTTAGCATTTTACGTATCTACAAAATTGAAATTATTTTAGAACATAGGATTGATATCAGATCTGCAAGATATTTTAAGAATTATAAGCATCTTGCCTAACTTAGATGATTATTTTGTATTATAAATATAAAACAGATTTCTAAATGTCATCAAAACTTTCTTTTTCTTCATGAAATTCTTAGTGTGTGAACTTATGAAACAAAGATTCAAACAATTGTCCTGAATAATTCAGGATTATAATATTTCAGTCTCTCAGGGAATAATAACAAAAATGTGAGAAGATTAATGGTATTTCCTACAGCTTTCTGGTTATGCTTCTTAAGTAATATTGGTCTGGACTTAACAAAATCATTGGTGCCATTAAACTCTTCTTAGCATTTACACAGCGAGAACTCTCAATTTTTCAGGAGCAAAAGTATAATTTCACTAGGCTAGGAGCGAATATAATTACATTATGCATGACTGAGTAGATAAAAAGTTTTATTAGCAATAACATTTTCACATATATTGAGAAACTTTCTAGTTTAACTTTTTTGGAGATCATGGTTTTAAGAACTTGAATTTTTTAATATAAATGTATAGGTTGTGTGTATATTTTATATAAATGTATCTATATATGTAAGGAACTTGGTTTTTTAAAAATAATCATTTTTTATCCTAATTCTGTACTAAGATTTTTAGGGCAAAATTATGTTTCAATAAACAAATGCATATTTTGATGCATATATTTTATAAACCTTATAACTCAGGTCATATTCACTTATACTTTAAATATTTGTAAGCTCCCACTATGTGATTTGTTGTTAGGGCCATCAATTGGTTCTGACTCCTAGCGCCCCTGTGGACAGCAGAGTGGAAGTGGGCCCAGTCTTTTTTCGCTATCCTCTCACTTCCAGCACTAGACCAGACAATGCTCTGCTGCCATTCATAGGGTTTTCATGGCCAATTTTTCCGGAAGTGAATGGTCAAGTCCTTCTTCCTAGTCTGTCTTAGTCTGGAAGCTCTGCTGAAACCTCTCCACCATGGGTGACCCTGCTGGTATTTGAAATCCCAGTGGCATAGCTTTCAGCATCACAGTGACATGCAGCCACCTCAGTATGACAACCGACAGACTGGTGGTATGGTTCCCTGACTGGGAAACCAACCTGATCTGCGGCGGTGAGAGCACCAAATCTTAACCACTAGACTACCTGGTCTAGACCACTATGTTGGCATTATATTTGGCACACTGATATATATTAATTCAACACTTAATACCTAAATGACCTTGGGCAAATCACTTAAACTCTCTATGCCTCAGTGTCCTCAGCTGTAAAATGACAATATCTACCTCATTGAGTTGTGAATACTAAAACGATTGAATATGTGTGATACTAAGAATTAGCTATTATGATGATGATTCCTTCCCTAAAGAAGCTCATATTATGATAAGAACTGCAGCCATGTATAAACAAATTACAAATACAATTTATCATGGTAGAGACATGCATCAACTCTGTTTGGATGGCGGTCAGAAAAGACTTCACAAAACGGTGAGCTTTGAGAAGAACTATGGGATGAGAAGTAGCCCAATGAATAGATAAAGGGGAAAAAGTATTCCAGAAAGAGGGAATGAATGTGAAAGCATAAGGATGCAAAATAGTCCAAGTCATCTGTGATCCACTGAAGGGAGGAAAAGGAGGAGAGACAGCTGAGTAGGGAGGATGGTTGAGGCCCTGCGTGCCCTGATAAGAAGAAGGCTGCCGAATGTAACATTACTACCTAAACAATCCACCTGGTAATTGGGTATTGATTATCGAGGCCAGAGTCATTTAAATCTACAAATGGAAACTTCTATGCAAAATACTTACAGAACATAAGTACCACTTTTTAGATGATTTCCAATTCACCTTTCTTTCTCCCCTTATCTATTTCTTTGTCTCTTACAAGCATGCTGACATGTACTCTCAAAACCTTGACACAAGGAAGCTGTTCTAGGATTCCTCATTTGGTTAAAATATTTTTTCCTAACTATTTAGAATTTCTAAGCACCAGAATTTAGATGTTTATACTATCCCTCTACTCTAACACATAGCCACATGCAAAAGACTCTCCAGATTTTCTTTTTGAGGGAAAATAAAGGGGAAGGGAGAATTATCCAAGTAAAGGAAATAATTTACAATGATGTTTAAAAAATTGTTAAAATACATGCTTTTAACACTTTTTGAGGAATGTGGCAAGTTGAGACATTTCTACAATGGAAAACTATAAATTTCATAAATGTAAATCATCAGCTCAAGAAGACGGTGAACACATTTTCTTGCACCAACTTTCTTATTGATGAATGGATATTATCATGATTTTCCACCAAAATGTCAATAACAGATCTCCTTGACCCTTCATCTGTGTCTGATCATTCTTAATCTCACCTTGGCATTCCACTATCGATTTAACAATGCCTACTGAGAACAGGAATTGACCTTTGGCATCTTCTCAAACTGGCCAATGTTGTACCAATTAATAGGCATGAAATCATGCTGCCCGAGGAGAAAAAACAAAAAATAAATCACTGAACTCCCTTCCCCTACTAAGTAGACATTAAAATATTAAATAATACTCAGGGTAAACCTGATGAAACCATTGGTAAAGTACGGAAAAGGGTCACCAACATTGGTGCCAAATCTGAGAGCTTCCCAAAGCACAGAGAAATTATCCCAGAAAGAGCAGTAGCCCAACAGATCAGTTTTATTTAGGATATTTTCAGTGAAAGTTGATGTAAGTTCATTACTGTTAATTTGGCCTTAGTTTTGCACTTGTGAAAGGTGTTTTCAATTTAAAAATAAAAGGGTTTATAATAAAGAATTGTCTTTTACTAAGTGGAATTTCTTGTTTACCTCTGAAATAAATGTAACCTTTGCAATGACTTCCTTCCACAGGAATTACCAAAATTTCTTCAGGATCTTTCTTCAACTGATGCCGATCTGCCTTGGAACAGAGCGAAAAACCGCTTTCCAAACATCAAACCATGTATGTGCTGTTACTCTGGTTTTAGCAGTAAAGGATTTAAAAATGACCACAAAATGCAGCTTGGCATTTTTTTATTTCTCAAATATATTTCATTATATTAATCGAATTATAATAATGCATTTTATTAGCAGCAACTTTCAAGTTGTATCTTTTGCTTTGCTAATATGTGTTAAAGTTAATGTACATGGTTTTCAGCTTGTTCACACAAGGCTCAGTTATGCAGGTGCAAGAAACAGTAGACCCAACAGTTTCTTAGCTTTGTAATTTAACCCAAGTCACAAACTTCTCCAGCATCTTCTCATAGACCTACTTGAATGTAAAGAGAAAGTTCACGTGTAACTTCGTGCGTTAGTTTCCCTTAAGAGCACGGCAGCGCTTTCTTATGAATATATAAAATGCATTCAAAATATTCATTGAGGATCAGAGTAAATGTGTGCTCACCAGGATTGGTTCCACAAAGGAGTAACCACGGCTTCATTGTTCAACCACTAAGAAAAGACACCGTATTATTGCTTTAAGAATTAGCAGTAATGTGAAAGGAAAAACATAACATTCCTCTGTTAATAATAGCCATGTGTTTGATATTACATTTTTTGAACAGATGTTCCTACCATCTATTATTCTGATTCAATACACTTTATATTATGAAATAAAAAATGATATTTGTGATATTGTGAAATATTATAAATTTTGTTTCAAAATATAGAGTTTTAAAATATTCTTAATTTTACAATTAACATATATAATTTTTCTATGTTCTATGTCTTTTCAAGACTATATTGGGAAAAATTCCCTACTTAAAAGTTGAACTCTTCTGTCTAGAAAGACATGGACTTAGAGAAGGATGCAATCACAGAATGTAAAATCATAAAGGGTATGGTAGTAAGAAATGGACCAAATTCTGATATTCTAGAACTAGAGGATAACTGAGGCATGAAGTAAACAAATTTAGGGAAACATGATATAGGAGGTAGTAAGCTAATGGAATCTGTTAATTCTCAAGAATTAGAATAGGATGAAAATACAAACAGCTTCAATCACCTAAAATCCTTTCTGGAACAAAACAAATCATAAGTAAATGGCTTTAAAAGCAAGTTGACAAATAAGACATTATTGTAGGAAATAAGGAATGCTAGTATTACATCTCTAAACTTCTATGGCATGACCTTTCTCAACAGGTCCTTTTGTTTTCCCTTTCAGAGAGTTAACTTGGGTTAAATGCATCATAACTTAAAAGATATGGAAATTCTCATGTTTTTATATTCATCTATACCTCAATTTCTTCTAGACTCTCTGGTTCATGCTTATTCAGTGATATTCTATGAAAATAAACATTATGATCTTATTGAAGAACAGTTATTATGGAATACTTAATATTAATTTACAGTTGTATATTTGGCTTAAGAAATTTATAATATATCGGTATATATAAAATAATTAAATCAAATATGTCTATCTTATTTCCAAAGACGAGAGAGTAAAATATGTAAAAATTTGAGATGTTAAAAAGATGTGTTTTAAATGTAACATTTCAATCTGTCATTATTAAGTTCTCAGTGTGTTATTATCTGGACTCACATCATGGCTAAAAGTCAGACAATACTAGATTATTAGTATAGGCTAAGAAGAGAATAAGAGTGGTCGATGGGACTAAATAATCTCAAAATGAAAAGAAGAACTGAGGAGTATGATTACCCCAATTCTTCATATCTGAGGCTAAGACAAAAAAAATAATTGTTAAGGATGGAATTATGTTGTAAATCAAGGATTTCTGGAGTATTATTGTAAGCATTGCATGCATGTTTTCCACCTTTGCTGGAGTCAAATGGTTAATGTCCATTTGTTTTCTGCTTTCTTCTTGATTTCAGCACAAAAAACTTAGGATAATTTTTCAAATAATATATTACATCTACATCCAAAATCCTTTAGTGGATTTGTAGGGGAAAGTTTTTTGTTAACTGCCTTTTTTTTTTTTTTTTTTTGCTGAGGAAGATCTGCCCTAAGCTAACATCCGTTGCCAATCTTCATCTTTTCTTTTCTTTTATGTGGCTGCTGCCACAGCATAGCCACTAACAGCCAAGTAGTATAGGTCCATAACTGGGAACCGGGGCCCAGGCTCCGAAACAGAGCGTGCCAAACTTAACCACTAGGTCACCAGGGCTGGCCTTTAACTGCCCTCTTAAAGAATCAGAAGTCCTATGGGAAATAATGTTGTTAGGTAGAATTTTATATTTTTCAAAGGATTATTAGAACAATTTATTAATTCAACTAATACATATTACCTGCTATATAATAAAAGGGCTAAGAATGTGTGGGGTCTAATCAAACTTCCTCGGCTGCAGTCCTGTTTCCCTACTATCTGTCTTTGGGCCTGGACACATTATTCAGTGCTGTCTGCCTCCTAAGGTTATTGGGAGGCGTGGATGGAATACTCATGTAAACCCGGTGCCCAGTACTGGAAGGTGAGAAGCTCTCAATAAATGTTAGGTCTTATGATTGTTAGTAATCAATAGATTGCTTATTTTCAAAAGCTGCTAACTTTCTGGGTGAATAAGATTTAGTAACAGGCCCTTAGGGGCCATAGTCTGGAGATGACAAGGCCACATCCCTAACCTGGATCAGAAGGCAAGCTGTAAACTCACAGCCACCCCATGGGCAAGTACAACTCTCCCCCCGGCCCCTCACTAGGAACAAACAAATGAGATGTTTAAGTATTTTCTCCCATTGTGATTGCAGAGAAGCCCTAAAGCTGAAGAAATGCTTTTTCTCCCGTAGAGAATGAATTCATTTGAACAGAGTCTGAATTTTAGCTTGGGTCAGCTAAGTGAAGGGTATTGTTTCCCCTGAGTAATGTAGGAAATAGGATTTCAAATATCACAGCACATTTTAGAAGATATTAGCTTACAGGGCTTTAGGATGCTAGAATTAGCAGCAAATGCTTGCAGAAGAGATTTCCAAATCTCTGTCTGACAGGACACTATGACCTTCAGAACTGTTCCAACACCATGAAGAAAAGTGTAGCTTGTTGTTGACTCAGACAGTTATAAGTGGACATATCGGGTGAATAGAAACCTGATGGCTTCCCTTCCTTAGTTACAGGACTAGCCATATGTCATTAAAATAGGTAAATCATACCAAATTCAAAATCTTTGGAACATACTTATTTGCATAAATTTGCTTAAACATTCCCTATCTCTAAAGTTAAGCACATGGGGAGGGCATTATAATTACTAACAGTACAGCTAAGTCATTTTAACATACTACATGTGCTTAAGTTTTATGAACCTGAGAACATGTATTGAGTGCTTACTATAAGTTTTTATATAAGTTTTCCTCAAGAGGATTCTACAAAATAAACAGTGTAGCTACCTGCTACAGCTGCGGTAACAAAGGAGCAGAGAAGTCAAGCAGCTCACCCAAAGCCATATGATAGATCATCTGAAATTCATCGCAAACCCATTTGCCAATTCTTCCTCCACTAACGAGTGCCTTCCTATTGAGGTTAAAAGAAAAAAAACTTTCAAAATAATTAAGGAGTCATAGATATTTTATATCATTTCCATGTCTAGTTAAAATTAGCACTGGATATTGCAATTATAATACTAACTTGGTAAAAATTCTCAGGGAATAATAATTTTTAATGCTTTGAAGAAAAACAAAGGATGGGGGGTATCTGATTTTACCTGATCTTAAAATATTGTAAAGAGTAATAATTAAAAGTTTGGTATTAAAGAAAGAATATGCAGATAAATTAATGGAAGAGAATAACAGTCCCAAAATAGACCTAAATACATAGAGAAAGCTAGTGTATGGTAAAAGTGGTGTTTTGAATGAGGGGAAGGATGGAATTTTAAAAAACTGAAACTGTTTGTGGTTCTAATTGGCAATGAACAAGCAAACAATAAAAGATTTTACTTCATTCCGTAAACAAAACAAAACAAAACAAAAACAATGGATCAAATATTGAAATACTTAAAACAAAAGCAGAATCCATTAAAGTTCCAGAAGAAACTATGAATGAATTTGTGAAAATAAGAATATTGGTAACAAACACTTTTGTATGAATGACACAAGAAGCTATAATGAAAAATAATGAGAAATTTGATTATAAAGAAATATAAATTTTATGTATGGCAAGATAGCCAGCTAGCTAGATTGCTCGATAAAGTCAAAGACAAACGACAGACCAAGAAGAAAATATTCATACATATGACAAAAAGCCTACATATAACCTTTTTTAGTATAAAACAGTTTTAAAAACAGAAAAATGTTATAATATGAAAAGGCAGTTGATAGAAAATTTATTTAAAATGACCAATAAACAAGCAAAGCAGCTAATTTTCACTCATATTTAAGAAAATCAAAATAAATACTATGACACATCAATTTGTATCTATCAAAAAATCATTAGTTAAAATGTTTAATACTATCTTGTGGTAGTGAAAATAAGAGGAAACAGAATTGTTCAAGCACTTTTGTTCAGAGTATGAATTAATATAATTAGAGAACAATTTAGTAATATCTTTCAAAATTTGAAATACACAATTTAATTTGGGAATTTTACTACTGGTAGTATATTCCACAAATACACTCCAAAATATACAAAAAGTTTGTTTATGTTTATTCGTCATTTTATAACAACAACATCAGATGAATGTAAGTCCTCATAAAGAGTTGAATAAGTATGTTATATTCAAACAATGAAATACTACATGACTTTTTAAAATAATGAGCTGGGTATCTTTGCTTATGCTGATATGGAAAGATATAGGTAAGTGAAAAAAGCAATTTGCAGAATAGAGGGTATATCATCCGGTTTATGGTTAATTTGCTATGTATATGTATAGAAAACTCTGGAAATATACACCAGAACATATTAATAGTCGTTGTCTCTGGGTAGAGAAAATATGGGATAAGAGGGAATGTCTAATTTTACACTCATATGTAATGTTGGATGTTATATCATGAACTCCTTTGTATTATTTTAATTGTAAAGAAGTAACGGCAATTTAAAAAGTGATTTGGCATTGATTTCTTATATTTTCTTCTAGATAATAATAACAGAGTGAAGCTGATAGCTGATGCTAGTATTCCAGGATCAGATTATATTAATGCCAGCTATGTTTCTGTAAGTTGCTATATTTAATTTTATTTTTTGAGGAAGATTGGCCCTGAGCTAACTTCTGTTGCCAATCCTCATCTTTTCTTGTTTGAGGAAGATTGGCCCTGAACTAACATCTGTGCCAATCTTGCTCTATTTTGTTTGTGGGTCTCCACCACAGCATGGCTTGATGAGTGGTGTAGTTCCGTGCACAGGATCTGAACCCTCAAACCCCGGGCCACTGAAGCAGGTGCACTGAACTTAATCACTGTGCCACCAAGCTGGACCCTATTTTATATTTTTATAAAACATAAATATGAAAATTATATTACTCTTCCAACTGTTTAAAACAGCAAATTCATTGCAACCTCTACAGATCTTAAAGTGCCAGTTCCTTACACCACCACTAAGTATCCTCATTTTATAGATGGGGAAATGGAGGCTCCTAATAGAATTGCAACCGACTAACAACCATTTCACTAATAAGTGGTAGATGTCCAACTCCAGGCTCCATATCCTCTGGTCTTCCCAGTATTTCATATGTTTTGTCAATGTATTCTCTATTACAATGAGGGCTGTCAATCTCTCTTTCAAAAAAATGTTAGTCAAATGGGCAGTCATGTCCATGTCCATACAATATAAAAATCTGTTATGCTCTTCTTTCCTTCTAGATTTGCCATTCTTCAAGAGGACTATGATGTCATGTTCTTCTTTCTATCCTCAGCTACTTGTAGAATGTGAACTCAGTTGTAGCTACTCAGTAAACATACCTTGAATGAACCAACATGGGGGGAATGATGACATACCCGGTGTACTATCTTGCACATCACAGATAATAAATGCTTGCTGAATTGGGTTGAAAATTAAATGAAACTAAATTGTTTTAGGGATCTCTCCTTCTCCACAGCTCTTTCGTTCTCTCAATGCTTATCACTATCATAGGTACATAGAAACTTTATATGCACCCAAGGCCTCCACTTGGGTTGACACAATTATGGAATCTCAGAGTAGGAATTGCCCTTATGGTTATGTAATTCAACTGTTCACCTTAGAACTCTTTCTAAAAAATTCCCAATAATTAGATGTTATCCTCTCTTGGCATTGATTCTTCACTTCCTCCTAAGGCAAATGATTCTATTTCTGAATAACTCTAATACACAGTTGATTTTTTAATATGAGATATGTTCCCATATATTTTCTCCCACTGTCTTCAATTCTAATACATAGCGAGGTTAATCATATTTGTTATGGTGACATTATAGATACTTGAGGATTTCCTCTGCTGCCCACACTCCCATAGGCCTTTTATTCTTTTCTCATTCATAGGTCTTGTCACTCAGGCCTGCCATTTCCTTTGATCCCATTGGGGCTCTGCTTATGTGATGCTCATTCTTTCACCAACATCAACATAGCTGTCCTGCGTCCCATTCCCTCCAAGCCTCTGTTAAGAGGCAGGAAAAAAGAATTCACTCCTAAATTCTATGTTGATTGATAGTTACTCCAAAATTACAATCTTATATTGAGTCTTATTTTGCAAAGAGTGAATAATGGGAGAATTTAAGGTTTCTTAATAGGAGAAGTGGCGAGGGTGGTAGGAGAAGTTAAGGCATCCTTTGAATTCCATCCTATTTTTATGCTAGAACTTTAAATCTGTATTGAAAAGAAAAGCACATGAATTTACTATTGTGATAACATACTTTATTCATTTATCAAATGATTGATTCCCTTGAAAATGTAGTTCTTTTCTAAAGACATCAGTGAAATTTTGTGCTTACTAATTTTCATTTTAGCCTAAACTCTACAGCATGTTTTACTTTGCTTTACATCTTATGCATATGTGCCTTTATATATTTAAATTTAATCAATGCTCCAATGATCATATGTTTTGTGATATCATAGAACAGGACAAGGGCAAATGGTTGTATCAGTTACCTGTTGATTTGTACCATTTTTTATTCACCAGCAAGTAGATACAAATGAATAGCACACATCTTCTAATGTTAAACTAGATATGGGGTGACAGTATAGGATACGAATATGATTAGGAAGGAAACCAGACAGTTTTAGCAAGTGTAAGTGAACCACACTGATGACATAAGCAAGGGAATATTCATGAATCTCCGTTGTTCCCTCTAAATTATTATACTGCCCTGTTCCTTCTGACATCATATACGTTGTCAGGAGACAACCAGGAGAAGATGATAAAGCAGCATAAGCAATAAACTAAAGAGTCTGAATATATATATTCTGCTATAATCAAGTGATGTTGTAATATAATAAATCTTACAACAAAGTCACTCTGACCCATATGTCATGATATGCGTAATTGTTACTAAGCTGCAGAGTAAGTAGGCCCAGATGTAAAGCACTTTAAGACACGTTTTGGTATTGGACTGGGCAGTACATTATATTGCTCTCATTTTTCGGGGAAATCATTGCTTGGAATGCTAGGACAGATGAGAATAAACAAAGCCATGATACTGTAGTGGCCCTCACTTCTCCATTCCCAAATTTAGACAGTCTTCGCCTTAGAAAGAATATCTGACACCCCAATTTCCCCCTACTCCCCAGTTATGTTCCATGGCACCTCCATCTGAAAGTTTATGAACACTTGTCCCAGAGGCAAAAGACAGAAGCCATCTACAAATGGATTCTGGATGCCTATTTCTTTGGAAGCTAGAGGAAAAGGGAGGACAACTATAAAGGATGATGGGGAGGAAAACAAAATAATTAGTGTTCAGATAGAAAAACAAAAAAATGAAATCTGGGACAGGGAAAGGAGAAGCCCAGCAGGTGGTCTGAGGGATGGACTTTAAGACTGGGAAACTCCAGGCCAGGGTCTGTAACTGGATTAACATAAGTGCCACCCCATGTCCTTGGCTGTTCTTGGGAACTGTGCTCCTGAAGCTGAGACTCATGAGAGACTGGAAAATTTTGGTGAAGGATGGACTGTGGGAGAGAGCTAGGGAGGAAAAGAGATACTGCATGCCTGTAAACAGCCACTAAGTATACAAACGAATTTAGAAATGTTGTCAAGAGAGCTAACAATAAGAACATTACATAATGGGACAAGAAGAACGAAACCCTCAAAATGATCTCTCCTGTCAACCTGAGATGCCTGAAATTACTTTAACTTGAGGATAGTTTTACCATAATTAGAGATGAACAATGAAAGGCGATGATGCAATTGAGCTGTAATAACTTCAGAAACATCAGATTTGTTCCCACTTTGATAGAAAATTATAGTACCAAAGACATTGAGTCCCTGAAAAACTGAAATGCAAATGAGTAGGAGAAATATTTTATAATTGACCAATTACAATTAATTGTCCTCACTTTTGAAAGAAACACTTTCTTCATTTGGCTTCCAGGACACATTCTCTCGATTTTCCATCTGTAGCTTTGACTCTTCCGTGTTAGTATCTCTGGTTCTCTCTTATCTCCTCAAGTACCGAACATTCAGTTTACCTAGAGCTCAATCCTTGAATTTACTGTTTCTTTCCAAACCCATTTGCTTGGTAATCTCATCCATTCTCATGATTTTAAGTAAGATCTATGTGCTGATTACTTTCAAATTTATGCCTGTAGCTTGGAATTCTTCCTGAATTCCAGACTCATATACCCAATTGCCTTCATGATATTCCCATTTGAATATCTAATAGGGATTTCCAGTTTAATATGTTCATAATGACTTCCTGCTCTTCCCTTCAAATCTGCTCATCCTGAAGTTTTCCCCATCCTCCTTTCATTATTGATTCCTCTATTTTTCTTATTTTCAATATCCAATCCATCAGCAATTCTTTTTGTTCTGTCTTTAAAATATATCCAGATCTTACTGTTTCTCACCATCTCCACTGCTATCATCCAAACTACCCCCTTGGTTGGATTGTTGCAATAACCTTCTAACTACTCTTCCTCTTTTCACCTTTAAACCCCTATAGACTGGTCTTCTTACAGAAACCAGAGTGAAACTGCTAAACCGTACACTCTATATGTTCAAAACCTTTCAACGGCTTTCTATATCATTCAGAGTAAGGACCAAAGTCTTATAATTACCCACTAGGACCTGAAGCACCCTTATCCTCCCTGCCCTGTTCCTTCTGACATCATCATTTATTACTGTGCCCCTCACTCCACTCCAGCCACTTGCTGTTCTTAGAATATTCCAGACACATCTCTCCTTTAATACTGTTATTCTTGACTTTCTTTCTACATAGAACACTTTTCCCCGAAGTCCTGTGGGGCTTGCTCCTTTCCTTCTTCAAGTCTTTCCTCAGATGTCACCAATGAGTCTTTTCTGAATACCCTATTTTCTAAAAACCCTCTCTCATAGCAATTATCACTTTAAAAAGTTCTATGTAATTTACTTATTTAATAGACTTAATGTCTATTTCCCCTAACGAAAATATAAAATAAATGAGGGGAGGTATTTTAGTGTCTTTTATCAGTGATGAATCCCCAGCACCTAGAACAGTGCCTGGCACATAATAGGTACTCATAAATATTATTTGAATGGAGGAATGTGCACATTAGAAAAGTCTGTAAAGAAGTCAACCAAAATATTTATGGTGTTTTATTCTGAATAGTGAGATTGTAGGTAAATTCCATATTCTATTATGTTTTTCTGAATTTTCCAAACACTCTACGTTGACTGTATATTACTTCTTTAACCCCTACCCCCAAAAAAACCCTTACAATGTAAAATAATTACATATTCAGGTATTTCAACTGAGACTGGAAAAGCTGAAATGCTTTAGCATATAGGGTATTTAAGAGACAAAATGTTTTATCCCAGAGACTGTCGCTGGCTAGCACGATGATTTGGAAAATCACCTAAAGTGCCTCATTATTCTTTAAAGTAAAACAAACTGGTTGGATTTGATTTTAGGGTCCCTTGAAATTTTAAATGTATATTATTCTTGTATAATACTAGATTCTCTGACGACTGAGACAATTCCAATTTAAAAATAAACGTTACCTTTTATTTTTCATTCCTTAAAATATTTTGATGTTAGGAGTAGATGTAATTCCATCACTCCCTTTTCATTCGTATGATACCTTTCTTTAAGAAAAATCCACAGATATTGCTCAAGTGGCATGCCTACATTCCAGGTGAGTGGACTAAGTTTTAGAAGAATTGTATAAAATGTACAAGAGCTATCACAATAGAGCTGAGCAAATCTCAGGTCCTCTATTAGCTAATGAACCTTCAGATTACCTCCACATTACTCTTGGTTCGGAGCTCTGGAGGTCAAACACTAATGCCACAGTTGAAGCAGATACGTAATTTCTTTGAGGAAGAGTATGGAATTATCTGCACAACCTGTAAATATACAGCAAGTGGGTAAGAGAGCTGGCTCTGGACTCAGACTGTGAGACCTTGAGCAAATTACTTCACATTTCTAAGCTTCAGTATCTTCATCTATTAAGTGAGGAGAATAAGAGTACTAATTCACACGGTTTTTATAGGAAATAAACTAATATATGTCTAGAAACTATATATATGTAAATACTGATGCAGTATTGTAATTATATCCTTCTAGGGCTACTTATGTCCAAATGAATTTATTGCGACTCAAGGTCCACTACCAGGAACAGTTGGGGATTTTTGGAGAATGGTGTGGGAAACCAGGGCGAAAACATTAGTAATGCTAACACAGTGTTTTGAAAAAGGGCGGGTAAGTTATTTGAAAACCTTTTCACAAAATGTTATTTTACAATTGTGTTAATATATGTGTGATACTGTCTGCCAGTACCATGAGTCATCAATAACTTGGACATCTATAAGACAGTTTTAACTTACTAGCAATAACTGTGATGTATATCAGTATAACAAGGTGCTTATGAATGGTGATTTTCTCTGAATACAGATCAGATGCCATCAGTATTGGCCAGAGGACAACAAACCAGTTACCGTCTTTGGAGATATAGTGATTACAAAGCTAATGGAGGATGTTCAAATAGATTGGACCATCAGAGATCTGAAAATTGAAAGGGTAAACAAAGGGGCGGGGGCGAACATAACAGAAAATGTTAATGCTCTAAATGTCTAGAGTAAAATTAATTTCTAGAACTATTCCTTGCAACGGTCCCTATATATTCAACAATGCATTCCTATTAGTTTCTAAAACAGTTTTGAATTGGTATTGGATTTCACTATATCACTGTGTCTAATTTCAAATCATAAAGTTTATATTAACCAATTAACATCAAATTCTTAGGTAACAAGGGAAGAGAAAGGAGGAAATATCTAGATCACTAGGTTTATTGTATGAAGAAACTGGAATATTTGACTTAAAACAGGAATTTCACAAATCACTCATCTCTGTCTATATCCTAATAATTTGATTTTCTATTTAATCCAGAACCAATATAGAAGAGATAACATGGGATTCCACTTTATAGGTTTATATAAATGCCTCTACACACAGAAAATGATATTAGGATCTTTATACATTCTGACATTATCAGACACTCAATACCTGTGTTTTGAATAATTGGTGAATGCGTTTATTTAAGTGTTGGGTCAAAATTGTTTCAAAATCTACTATTTTACTGCTACAAAATGCTACACTACATTTGAATATAAATACCCTACATTAACATCTGTTTGCAAGCTTTCTTATTATTTTCCTTCATATTGAAAGGCAATTTTCTTTATTGTAGCAATAATAAAAGACCTTTCTCACAGGAAATCATGAAAACACAGTTTCTTCTGTTTGGTAAACAGTCATTTTTAAAAGATCACCTTCAAAAGCTGGGACCCCAGCTGTCTTCAACCTTCATCATGGTACTTAAATAATTTTCGTGCTTCTTTAATCTGTCGCTTTGTCTAGCATGGTGATTGCATGACGGTCCGACAGTGTAACTTCACCGCTTGGCCTGAGCACGGGGTTCCTGAGAACAGTGCCCCTTTAGTCCACTTTGTGAAGCTGGTTCGAGCAAGCAGAGCACATGACACCACACCTATGGTTGTTCACTGCAGGTATATGAAAGATATGTTTAGAACCTTATATGAAACAGTGGAAATGGTCTTTAAATTCAATGTGGCCTTTTTATTGTTATGATACCATTGATTATTTTCTGGCAGAATGTTAATGTAGATTCATTCCAGCTTGCAGTTTTCAGATATTTTACTGGTTATAACAAACCAAGATGTAGCTTTATGGAAGGTTAGATGGCAGAAATAAAATGTGATGAATGTGTCTAAATGCAAGGGAAAATGTATTCTGGTACAGGAATTTTCCTGAAATCTTGACTGGATTATGCCTCTCAAAGGCCTTTAAAGTTTTTTTAATTGTGGCTCATCATTGATGTGCATGAGTGTGTGTGTGTATAGGATTTTATGAATTTTACAAATAAACACCTGATCCTTCGCTATTTCAACTGATACTAGTCTACTATCATAATTTAAACATTTTTTTGTAAAAGCAAATTTCTAGATTTGAGTTACAAAGAGTAAATAAAAGAAAATGAACTCAAAATAAAGATCAAATTAAGTGACCAACCCAAGTATGATTCCAAATATTTACAAACTTAACTACTAAATGTCTTCCTTTGACCCAGCTCTTTGAACATGGTTAATAGAATGTGACTATAAATTGAGATTTTTTTCCCCTTGTTATTTTCATTGGTATTTAATACTCTTAGAAATAAAACTCAAGATTGTTTAGAATTCAGAGTTCTGGACATATTGATATGACTGTTTTCTAACATGCATATATCTAAATCAATGTCAACTTGAATCCCTTCAATAATTGGAATTTGCAAATTGTAGAAAGAATTGGTGATAATATACTATTTTATGATTCCACTTATATGAGATACTTAGAATAAGTAAATTAATAGAGACAGAAAGGAGAATTGTGGTTTCCAGGAGCTTGGGGGAGAGAGAGATACAGAGTTATTGTTCAGTGAGTATAAGAGCTTCTGCTTGGGATGATGACTAAGTTCTAGAAATGGAGAGCAGTGATGGTTGGACAACATCGTGAATGTACTTAATGCCACCGAACTGTGCACTTAAATATGGTTAAAATGGTAAATTTTATGTTACGTATCTTTTACTACAATAAAAACAATTGAAGTAACTATATTTTAACCACATTATTAAAAAATTAATTATTACTTATAATAATTCCAACAATTGATAATTTTTCTAACAGGAGTTTACTATAATTAATGTAGTTAAAGAAACTATTAATTCATCTAAGATTTTTACTGTTATGTAGAGGAAAAACTCAATATGTAATTTAAATGATTTTACATTTTCCAGGAATATTTTGGATGTTTTAAATTATGAGTCATACATGAACGCTTGCTAATTATAAAATATCTGAACTTTTTAAAAAGCATATAGAACAAAAAGTAAAAGCCTTATTCTTACCCTCTCAATTCCATTTCCCCTTCATATATGTAAAAGTTTTAACAAAGTAGTATATATAAATACAGTATAAATAGGATAACAGCTTGCTTCTAAAGTCAGGGATTGATTTCAAGCCGGCATCATTGATAACGAAAGTCTTTGATGGACAGTCACTGCCTTCAGCTTCTTGGTACCTTACATATGCACTGCCACTGGCACTAAAGTCCATTATAAAAGGAAAGCACCTTCTCCCTTGAAGCCTCAAAAAGAACAGTTTTCTCCTTGTGATTTAAATAGTTAAGAGATAAGAAAAAGTATGCTCATAACAATAATCTGTATCATTTTAATACTGTGTATGAAATTATCTCCAACCTCAACTTCTCACCTCAACTTTAGACTTCCACATTTAACTTCCAATTCAACATGACAGCCTGAATGACCACAAAATTCTGAAAATTTGACGTGTCCAAAACAGAACACTTGGTTTAATCTCCAAACTCACTTCTCCTCCTCATCCCCGTCTTGGTGAACAGCAGGTCCACTCGGCTTGGTCCCGGCACTCCGGACTCGTCCTCTACCCTCGTCTTCCTCTCGCATACCACATCCACCCCACCCGCGCATCCTCTGATCGCTGGCCCCCTCACCTCTCCACTGCACTCTCTTCGCCCGCGTCTTCCTGCTCTTTGAACGCGCGAACACGCACCCACTCTGATCGTTTCTCCTCGGGCTCCCGCCGCTCCTCTCCCACGAGCCCACCTGGTGCGCTCCCTAACCTTGTTCACGTTTCTCTTCACATGTTACATTATCAGAGAAGCCTCCTCTGATGACCCTAGCCTACCCTATCACCCTCACCCTCCTTAACCTGATTTATCTACCTTCCTAACACCTCTGACGGCCGGGTACATTCTGTGGATGTTTGCTTATTTGTGTCCCGCCGTTCTCCGTCCTGAAGAATGTAAGTTCCGTTTAACTGCAGGAGCTTTGTATTGTTCACTGCTATACCCAGGATGCCTAGGACAGTGCTGACGCTCAAAATGTCCTGAATGATGTAATGACGGATTACTCTGTTCAGGCCTATGTGTATGTGGTACCATAATCGGATTTATCTTGTAATGCTCACTATTTCTTTCAGATCAAATCATAGAAAATTGATGACATTCTACTATTTCTTACCCCCAAGAATGCCAATTTCATGTTGTTCAGAGTAACAGTTACAAGACTAGCTGACCTTTAAAATCTTTTTTTCTTTCAGATTTACTTTCTATATTAATTATTTAAATACCTAAGAGACTTATCTTTCTAATGAGAGTTGCTGAATAAATCTTGTTGGGTTTATCAGTTAAGTGTCTATGGGGCACATACCTATCCATAGGTATTAAATCCATTTCTTGAAAGGAAATAGCATGTCAATTTTATTATCTGTAGGAATTAAAAAAAAAACTAGGGAAAGAAAGTGAAAAGAACACACAAGAGTCTATTTTTCCTTATGATGCGGAGGAAATGCTAGATGGGCTAAATATTTGACATTTTTATGTTTAGCATTTCTATTGATAACCAAAAAATATGTTCAATACAAAGCTTCTGGTGTTAAGAATTCTCAAGGATTTTTACAAATCTTCTCTGTACTTCTGCAACTCTACCTCCTAAAATATGATGAAAGAAGAGGAAATGTTCAACTTATTTCTTATAAAATTCAAATATTTGATAGAGTATCAATGATAATCATCGTGCCCTGTCTAAACAGCCTTGGTAACAATATAAATCCAAAGAAACTCCAAAGGAAATCTACCTTCAAATAAGAGAAGAAACTGTTTAGGATTTATTGCTACCGTAGCTCATTTTCTTCATCACCATCACCATGAACAAGCTTTTGCTGAATAATTTTCATGTGATTTCACTTTTGCTGCAGTGCTGGAGTTGGAAGAACTGGAGTTTTTATTGCTCTGGACCACTTAACACAACATATAAACGATCATGATTTTGTGGATATATATGGCCTAGTAGCTGAACTGAGAAGCGAAAGAATGTGCATGGTGCAAAACCTGGTAAGAGATCTCAAACTGCCTGCAGTGTCAGCTCGAGAATTTCTCCGTGGGAGGATCTTAGTCCTAGCAATCTGGTTGGCTGTGGATTTGAAACTGTATTTGCATAGCAGACACTCTCTTTTCCCACATTGTAAACCTCCTTGGGGTGGGGGGTCTTGGGGAGGACAGCTGATGGAGATTACAGGAGAACTAAGGCCCACCTACCACAGTCATCCTTCAGCATCGTCACTGACTGCTCATCCTGCCTTCTTTATACAGATAGGTAGATAGAAAATTATTCATAAAATTGACTTGTCTTTAGTATTTAGCAAGTTTGGGGAGCTTAGGAAATGAATGAAATCAATTTGTTTTGTAAACATGCTAAAAGTCGTAATTGGGAAAAAGTTTAAAATATAGATTTATGAGGTTCCATATGTTTCACTTGTCCATATTTATCTCTATTGCATATTAGTACTAATAACAATTATTGTAGTGTATTATCTACTAACTGGGAGTTTTTTGTTTTGTCATTTTGGTTTGGAGGCAAAAATATTTATAAAATATATGGATTTTTCTTCATTAAAAAAATCACACAACATCATGGTAATGAGACTAAAACTCCCTATTGAGTGTCTAGTGGGTTGCAAGTGCTATACCAGATCCTTTACATGTATTATCTTATTTAATCCATTATTTGTAAAGTAGGGCCAATAAAACTAATCAACAGCCTGGGTACTATTGATTCAGTTTTACAAATAGGGAAGCAGATGCTCCAAAGTAGTAAAGTGATGTTCCAAGGTTATACTACTAATAAGTGTCAGAACCAAAATGCAAACACAAGTTGGTCTAACTATGGTATGCAAGGTGTTCCTATCTATACCTCTGGATTGAGTTTCTATGCTATACAAATAGAGATTTTCTCACAGTAAATATACAGATCTACTATCACAGTATTTTCCAGGGGATGTCCTAGAAAACGCACATGTCATCACAGTTGTTAAAGGTAGAACAGAGCCAGACCTGATTGCTTATTTGTTAAAGTTCGTTTCCTGGTCCCAGAACCACACAACTTGTCTGTCAGTAGCCATGCTGTGGTGGCAGCTCACAAAGAATAGACTAGAAGGACTTAAAACTAGGCTATACAACCATGTACTGGGGCTTTTGGGAGGAAGGAAAAAAAGAGAGAGGAAGATTGGCAGCAGATGTTAGCTCAGGGTGAATTGTTCCTAGGGATAAAAAAAAAGGTATGAGAAAGCAAGTTCTCTGCTAACATAAGTTTGAGAAAGAAGGGCAACCGATTCTTAGAATTTCTTAGACCCTCTATACTCAGGTGCATAGACAGTTACAAATACAGAGCCCTTGTGGGCAACATTTCCCAAACTTAGATGATTGTGAAATTCTTGAACCCTTTTAGATCCCAGAACATATAATGCCATGTGATGAACATTAATGTCCTTAGGAAATGGTTCTCTAGACCAGAGACCTCCAAACTTTTTGGACTTCCATCCCTTTCAGGAAAAATGTTTGAGCATTCAACTCTAAGACATATGTATTTATTTTTAAAATATACACTACAGAATTATATAATTATAAAACATATACAAAATAAGGAATTGAAAAACATGAAATAAATAATTTTGAAAATCTTGCTAATTGTGAGGGCTTTATATTATCATTAGGTAGTTTTAAAAGATAAAATATGTACTTAGCACAAGATAATTTTGTTATGATAGTGGCTTTAAAAACATATTTTAAATTATTTTTAATTTTTTAAAAGTAATCTATCTTTTTGTCAGATCTGATTACGTTGTTGCTGTTTTTACCTTATATATGGCTACAAGATTATTCTAGGAGTACAAAGGATGTCAGCCCTGCCATTATTTTGTCATTCATTTGGGCTTACATGATATTTTCAATCCACGGTCTCTTTGTAGGAATCTTTTTAAGCCAAGTCAGTTCTGTGGTTGTTAGGTAAAACTAGGTAACGTAATCCATATGCATTCCCTTGTATGCTGAAAGGGAACCGGTGAGTGACGTCTCACTCTGCCCTCAGGGTACTTCAGAAATGCGCGATGACTTGTGACTAGGGTTGGCTTCATGGGTGTGCAACCTGTACTGTGTTACAGGTCCCCACACTCAAAAGGGCCTTGCGCTTGGTCTAATGTTGCTGTCACTGTCTTAAAAATCTTTACTAGTTTTTGAGGAAGGGAACTCACATTTTCACTTTGCAGTGGGCCTCGAAAATTGTGTAGCTGGTCCTTGACCAGGGGTCTTATAAGGGCTCCATTATCAATTCAGCTATTAACCATTATTAAAACTCAAGTTCTTTCTTATTTTTAGTTAACAGTAAGGATAAATAGAAAGCTAACACTTTCCTTCTGTGTCTCAGGGTGTATACACGTGTACTGGCAATCGATTCTCTTGACATTAATCGAGATTGGTTGGCTCTCTTGGATAAGGTAGAGGGTGGGACTGATCGGAATACTGTTTCCTTCTAGAGTCTGGAGTCAATCTTCAAATAACGAAAGTTGAAAAACATTTTGCCATACTCTGCATCTTTGTGGAACTGAACGCTGTAAAGACTATGTTCAAAAACGCTTGTTAATAATTTCACACAATTTAGTACTCAATATGTGCTATAAACTTCATATATTATGCCTGTTTTACCAGCCAGAGGAAAAGGTTGCAGTTGGGCAGGGGAATGGAAAGAACGCGAATTTTGGAGTCAGAAAACTGAGTTCAGAATCCAGCCTTGCTAATTATTGGCTCTGTGACTTTGTTTAATTAACCTTTCTGAGCTAATTCTCCTTTGTAAAATAGCCGTCGTACTTTTCACAAGTTGGTTGTCAGTATTAAATAAGAGAAAGTATCTAAAGCTCCAAGCGTACAGTAAATGCCCAGCATGCAGTCAATGGCTGACAAGATTCTGCTGGATTCTCTCCTTGCTGGAAAGCTGGTACTCAGAACCTCTCTTTCACCTGACTGCATTCCCAGGCGTTACGCTCTTTACTGTCTTTTCCCTGTGATGAAAAAAAGGAAAATGACCACACCTTGGCTCCAGTCCTCACAAATCAGCATTGCTTTGCACAAGAGTGGTGTCTTATTTTCTTCTATTACACTCGGGAGTGATTCCAGTGCTCATGTCTCAGCACATATTACAGTAGCCTCGGGCAGGGGTGGGGAGGTGGAGACCTCAGCAAAATATCACCAGTAAAATGCACCAGAGGGCCATGACCCAGACCCAGGAGAGAGCTTTGAGTTCTTTCACTGTCTCCCAAAAAACAGTTCATAGCAGCTCCAAGAGCTTTGAAAGAACTTTCTGAGAAAATGCTCCGCAGTGAAATAATATCCTGAGATAGTATCGGTGCTTCAAATAAGGGGTTCATCTGGATGAGCCCCTGCCCTTCCCTGTTCTTGAAATTTGCTCCGGTGAACTGCTAAGGCAGAAGAAGAAAAATAACTGATGTATTTTGTTGCCTAGTTTTTTGTCAGGCACTTTACATATGTTACATCCTTTAAACTTCACCACATAGGTTTTATGATCCCCCAGATGAGGAACCTGAACATCAGAAAAGTTTAATTCTTAAAGTAACGCGACTATCCCGGGTAGAAAGTAGGATTGAGTTTTTGCCGCTCTCTGGCAGTAAGACTTCATGGCAGAGGGAGCTTGGAAACTAGCAGTGCTCCGTGAGTTCAGCACGCCCCGCGGGCAGTTTATGCCTGTCATTCTTTCCAGTGGAGACGCTGAGATTGGGACAGTCAGAAGCTGTACTTATCAAATGGGACTTCAAATTCAAATGTGGTTTTCCAAAAACACTAGAACTCGTAAATTTAAATGATTGTTGTTTTCAAAGAAATTATGTTGTCTCAATCAATATATTTCTGCCAATAACGTTCACTGCGTGATGACATTTGAAAATACTCTTTTGAAATTACCCTAAGAAGTTTACTGGCACTTTCAATAGAATTTTACTATGTTATAACAACACTTAATTTCTTACCAAATTGAATTGTGTAACTTTATCGTCCACCTCCCTAATGCCTTCTGGATGTTTTCCAGATGAAATCTGTCCTTAAATGGTAAAGACTGGCTGACTGTAAGAATTAAATGAGACTAAGTCAACAAACATTTATTACGCAACTACTGCATGCCAGGCACTGTTACAGGCAAAGAGAATATAGCAGGGAATATGACAGAGTTCTGCCCTTTTAGAGATGACATTCCAGTAATGAGATGTTTGTGGAAACACTTTGTAATCCGTGAAGAAATAGATATTCCTAATAATGACCAAGAATTTCTGAAGACAGTCTCAATAGAGAGTTCCCCCAAAATTTTGAGGTGTAGTCGCAATAGAAATGAATATAATAACCTCTTAACATGGTCAGTTTTCAGGACGTGCTATTCAAATCAATTGTCAATTTGTATATATATATATATATATATATATATATTTTGAATGTTCAGGTATATTTTTTAAACATCAGGTATGTTTCCTATTACAATTGAGGGTGATTTTCTGTGACTATAACCTTAATTGCCTTTGGGAAAGTTCAAACTCAGAAATTCTAGCAGATTATTGAGTTGCATTGAATAAACTTAAAGAACCCACATGGTACTAAATTTAGCCCAAACATTCAGATGAAATGTTAGAAGTTCTTGTCCAGTACCTGGATGTTTGAACATTTCAATGGTCAACTGCCTTATTGTTACGAATAAAGACCAGATACTTGACATAAAGTGGCCAAATGTTGGATGATTAAGAGAATCGCTGAACATACTTTAAATGTGCTGATACTGCGTAGATATGCTCATTCACAGATTTTGAAAATAAAATTAGCATCTGCATTCCAACAGCCATTATAATCAGAAAACTATTTATAAGAAAAATTACTCCGACCTAACAGGAAAGAGGAAACTCATAAACAAGTTTAAATAATCAAATTCGCCACTTTTTAATAATCACAGCAAGAAAGAACATAACACTTGGTGTTGAATAAGTATTTTTTAAAACAACTTGAAGCTACAAGAAGCCACATGAATTTAGAAAACTTCATGTTTGAAATGGTAAAAAATCATTCATATACATGGTGAATTCTGTAATTCTCACTTAACTGTTTAACATTTGTTGAATTCAATATTACTTTTCGCTGTAACAGTATATATAGCTCCCCTTATAAGAAAAATCTCCACCCCATTCATTTATTTAACCACTGTTTCTTTGGTATCTAGGCACAGTATATTTTTTTACACCAGTGCATTCTGGATATCTTATCAAGTAAAGGAAATAATCAGCCCATCTGTTTTGTTAACTATTCAGCACTTCAGAAGATGGACTCTTTGGATGCCATGGAAGGTAATCAGAGACAATATGTACCCAATTCACGAATTTCCAACCTATAGCAGGAGCATCAATTTACTAATAACCATGTGTTGAAAATGTTTTAGAAATTTAGCTAATGCAGATGTCAGTTTTTTCATTTCTCTCTAACCAGAGTTAGGATAATAGCCTTTCTGTCTGAACTATATTCTTGCCAGGAAACATTTCAAACTTTTGAACTGTTAACTTCAATTCTCTCCCGTGACATGTTACTTTATCTTATAGGTGATGTTGAGCTTGAATGGGAGGAAACCACGATGTAAATATTCAGACCAAAGATTACAACTGGAAGATATTTTCAAATCACAGGGGCCAAAATTATCCCCTCCTTCTTCTGAATTGAAATGTGCAAGCTTAAAGAAATCTCTGTGCTCTCCTTACTGTGCCTTACTAAATGGATTGACATTTTATGAATAGTTCTAGGAAATAGCTAACTCAGGATAGTTATTTATTTTATACAGAATAAATATTATGCACTTAAAATGTGTAAGAAAAGACATCCCAGAGATTTTTTAAGTCTTTCATACTTTTGGAGTGAGCCAAATATAAAATTATTATTATACTAGCATTAATGTTTCAATGTGAATTTTCCCTACGTATTGAATTTAATCTCGAACAAAAGTTGTAAATGTTGATTCAGTAGTGTTATTTTGGCCTCCAGGGTGTTGACGTTTCTTGTGGATAACTTCCAGGACTGTCATAATGATCTGTACTTCCATGTATGCCCCTGTGTTTTGAATCCTCTGTTTTATGAGTGCTGAGATGTCATCTCATGATCTCGAACAGCTGAACAGTAACCCCTGACACTGCAGGGATTACTTACCCTTTATACAACACACAGTAGCTCTTCTGGGACACTTAGGGCTATTTTGATTGCATTGTGATCTTTAGTTTGAGAAAACAAAAAGAAAAATTAAGCAGTGCAATTGCTCCTATAAACTACTTTTCTAGCCTGTTCACATTTGTATGTTTTCAGGCACAAGCTGTACCACTATATTGTATATATAAATACGTAGTTAAATGTATCAGAGTATTTGTCCATTAGATACATATTCAACCTAATATTAATGATTTTGAAGGATTTCTTGAGCAGAAATATATAAAAACAAATAAAAACGTGTAATGTGTTGCAGGCTTGTAAACTAATGATGTGCTGCTGTGGTGCCAACAGAGACTTCTGAACAGATTACATAAAATGGTCTTTATTTCTTTTCCCAAGGTTGATTATTGAGGCGTGCATGTGGTGGAATTGAAAACCAAATTAATCAGGATGTAGCAAATTAGAGATTTTTTAAAAAGAAAATCTTTAAACCTCCATTTTGTTAGATAGCGACAATCTACTAAGTTTTGAACTATGTGAAATTATTTTGTCATAATTTCAATTAAGCGTCACAAAATGAAATAGTATTAATCATTCTTTTTTTCTATAATGAAAATTATACCTTATGCTTATTTCTGCTAGAATATACATATAGAAAATGTGATGGCCAATAAAATTGAATTTTAAGGAATTGAGTTACTTTGCAGCATGATTTCAGAGGTCCTTACAAATATAAATTTGAATTTGTATCACATATTGAGATATAATTGATAGTTATCTTAATACAATATAATGAAGTATATTATATATAAGTGCAATATAATAGTACAATATAAATAGTTAAGATATAATTATTTCCCGAGGTACCTATAGATAGTAAGTAATTTTCAAATCAAATTCATTATCTTGGAAATTAAATCCTTTAGTCTTACATGCAGTCCTACTTCCTGTTTTTTCATAGCAAGGAAGTGTAAATACATGCGATCCACTACTGTTCCAACCAACAAGTTTACTCTATAGAAAGTTATAGAAAACAATAAGAAATGATGAGAACTCTAAAAGATTCAAGCTGGAATTAGAGCTTCGTCAGTTTGCTTCATGTCTCAGTCATTGAAAATGTGTGGCAAGCCAGTATTTATGAATGTGGGTTTTTGTATTCATGGAAGAGAAATAACAGCCTATGAGAAGTAATGATGAGTTACTTTTTAATGTGTTAAATAATAATAAAATAAATATTCAATCTACAGGCCATTCTATTTGCTATAATAGCTGTATAAAACAGATGTGTGCAACATAGAGTTTCACATTTGCCCCATATGTATATGCATATGTGCATCTATAAAACAGAGTTTTAACATAAGGCCTCCTCTAAAACAATGCTTATCAGGCTTTAATGTGTGTGCAAATCACCTGCAGATTGTGCTAAAAATGCAAATGCTGCTTCAGTAGATGTAGGGTAGGACCTGAGATTCTTCATTTCTAGTAAGTACTCAAGTTGGAAGACTGCTGCCTCGCCTCAGGCCATATTATCAAGCAGCAAATCTCTAGAAGACCTTGGTCAGGATCAGAATTATTTCTTGTCCATCTCAAATTATTTGAAACATGTTTGAAAAGATTTGGCTTCATTATCAGAAAAAAATTATCACAGAACACCTGTTAAATGTACACAGCTCGCTAGCTATATCACGAAATTGTAACTGAAATTGAATCGAAACTCACTTATTAATGAGAGCTAAATTTTCTCTTAATTATATTGTGAAAGGGCTAGTCTATAGCCACGTTCTATAGGTGGCTACTAAGTGCAAATTAAAATAATGAGGAACATCTGTAACATTTTTAGATCAGATTTGTCAAAATACGTTGAAGCACATGTACAATAAATGAGCAACATGTGTTTCATCTGATCCAAATGAAACTGGAGCCTCTCAGAATGGTTTGCCAGAGACCAGAGCAGCTGTGGGTATCACCTCTACTTTCATCCTGTTTTAAAACGCATAATTTTCGTCTTTCAGTTTATAGGTGAAATGTATAATAAGTCTTTTGAAAAAAGCTAATTAAACCTTGCCCTCTTCGTAAAGGAGATGGTGATCCTCTCTCCACATGTGGTACCAAACAGTAGATTTTTAAAATGGAATTTAAGTTTCGTAAAGTATTCTATTCGTCCATGGCATTATGGTGCTAAGTCCGTTTTCATGAGCAGACTTTTAGAAAACTCACAGTGAAATTTTTAGTGAAGGCTGGAACACAAAATGATCTGAAATACTCAACTGAGTGGTATTAAAAATTGAAAATATGGGGGAAAAGTTTATAAAGTTTATAATCTTGACAAAACAGCTTTCTTTCTTACGACAAGTAATATTTCATGGTAAATGACTTCATAAATATACACAGAGTTTCCATGTAGAATCAGGACTCATATGCCCACCAGCTCATGAAGATGTTTTGAGGAATAGATTAGATCACACATATGAAAGTGTTTCAAAAAGTACAACGACCTCTACAAAGTTAAGATAATCTTTTACCCAGGCTGGTCAGTATGTAATGGTTATCAGTAAGATAATGCTTCTCATTTTAAGATTGCATTGTACTTTGTGATATTAGTACCATATTTGTATGCACAGATTGAAGAGAAAATTATGGCAGTTATATTGACTTCTGTTAAATAAGATCATTGGTATTTCCTTTTTTCATGAATGATTAAGAATATTCTCAAGGAATTTTGGGCTAAAATGAACAGATAGTCATGTACACAAATAACAAAGTGTGATTTGGAAAACAAGTCAAGAAAATTTCCATTTCGAGTGTTTCAACTGAACATTCTGAATCAGTGTCTGCAATACAGTCATTTGAAAATAAAATTGCAACTTCATGGAAAGTGATGAAAAGGATTATTCTCCCCTCTTAACAAGACAGTCTTTCTAGAGTCACAAACTTATTTTAAATTTTACTGACAGTATTCTTGGATTAGGAAGTCATTTTAGTAAATTACAAACTTTTTTGAGTACTTTTACATCCATCATCCTTAATCTCTACAAAATCCATTAAGACTTGCAGGGCCCCCTATTACAGATAAATATAATGAAAGCTTAGTCACTGCGCCTGAGACCACATTTAATAAGGATGGGAGCTGCATATGATAATAAAGTTACTGAAAGTCAGTGATAAAGATAAAATTTTTAAAGGCAACAGGCAAAATCGAGATCTTTTCAGGGGCTCAAAGATAAGAAAATATGCTAGCTTCTATTCAGAAACAGTGCAAACCAAGGGACAATGGAATGACATATTCAAAGCACTGAAAGTATCTCCTAAACCTGAGTAAGGCCACCTACAAAAAAGCTAGAGCTAATATTATACTTAATGGTGACATATTGAAGGGATTCACCCTGAAATAAAGAAAAAGGCAAAATGCCCACTTTCATAACTTCTATTCAACATGGTACTGGTGTTCCTAGTCATTACAATAAGACAAGAAAAAGAAATAAAAGGAATAAGGTTTGTGAAGGAAGGAACAAAACTGTCTAAATGAGTAGAAAGTATAATCTTGTATGAGGAAATTTCTGAGAAATGATGCCAAAAAAGCTGCCAGTTATAATAAATAGCTTTAAAAAGGTTATAGGATATAAAGTCAAGATAAAAAAATCAATTTTATTTCTACATACTATCAATGAACAACTGGACATTGTGATTAAAAATACCACTAACAATAGCATAGATGAACATGAAATGCTTAAGAATAAATTTAACAAAATATGTGCAAGATCTATACACTAAAAACAATATTAATCAAAAGAAGTAAAGAAGACTGAAATAAATTTTTTAAAATGCAAGTCCATCAACTCAAAAACTCAATATTGTTAAGATGTCAGTTCTTCCCATATTGTTCTATAGATTCAATGGAATATCAATCTTAATATTTAAGGCTTTTCTTTCCAGAAATCGATAAACTGGTTTTATAATTTATATAGAAATGTTGCAACAGACCTAGAATAGCCAAAAAGATTTTTAAATAGAGCACAATTGAATATTTACACTATAGATATACAGTATTTCTTTTTAAAGGAAAAAATAGAAAGTCAAAAAGTAAATCCACACATAGCTGGCCAACTGGTTTTCAACAAAAATGACTAAGTAATTAAATGGGGAAAAGATGGCCTTTCCAATAAATGGTGTTGAAACAACTGGATATTGATTTGGAAAAATATGAACATTCATCTCTAGCTCATGTAACAAATGCAAAAATTAACTTGAAAATGGAGCATAGATCTAAATGTTAAAGCTAAAACTATAAAGTTTATAGAAGAACACTAAGAGAAAATCCTCATGACCTTGGGATAGGCAAAGATATCTTAGAGTACAGAAAAATGAAATATAAAAGAAAAATTGATAAGTTATACTTAGTCAAAATTATAACCTTCTGATCTTCAAAAGACACTATTGAGAGAATGAAAAGTCAAGCCACAGGCTGGGAAAATGGGAGAAAACATTCACAATTCATGTGTCAAGATACAAGTCCTGGGACTTGTATCCAGAATACATGCATATTTACAGAATAATACACACACACAAACACACACACACATATGACCAATACATGAAAAGATGCTCAACATCATTAGTCATCAAGGAAATGAAAATTAAAATCAGAATGAGGTAATCATACCAATAGAATGATTAAAATTAAATGGACTGGAAATATCAAGTCATGCTGGCAAGGATTTTGAGCAGCTGGAACTGGAATTATATGATACATCACTTTGGAAAACGGTTTGGTAGTTTCTTATAAAGCTAAACATAACACCATATTACCATATTACCCAGCATTACCACTCCCAGTCATTTATCCTCAAGAGAAATTAAAATATATTTCCAGAAAGTGTTTCCATGAAATATTTAATATATTATTAAAATATGTTAATAATGCTCTTAGCAGCTTTATTCATAACAACCCCAAAATGGAAAAGAGTCCTAATACCCACCAACGAGAATGAATAAATAAGTTGTGGCATATTTAGATAATGAAATACAACTTGGCAATAAAATGGAAATGAACTATTGATATACTTAAGAGCAGGGAAAATCCTCAAAATCATTATGTTGAGTGAAAGACAGACACAAGGGAATACATCGTGTACTGTACATACTGCTTCCATTTATATGAAGCTCTGGAAGTGGTTCAACTAATCTGTAGTGAGAGATGTCAAATCAGTGATTACCGGGGTGGGCTATGTGTGGTGATTGACTGCAATAGGAAAAGGGAACTTTCTGGGGGTGATGTATGTGGTCTATATCTTGAATGGACTGATATTTACATGAGTATACTTATTTGTCAAAATGCTTTAAATTGTATACATACAATGAGTGCATTTTATTTCATGTAAATTATAATCCAATAAAGTTGATTTAAAAAAATAAAAGGAAGGGCTGGCCCAGTGGCATAGCGGTTAAGTTTGTGTGCTCTGCTTTGGTGGCCCGAGGTTCACAGGTTCAGATCCTGGGCGTGGACCTACACACCGCCCATCAAGCCATGCTATGGCAGCATCCCACATATAAAATAGAGGAAGATTGGCACAGATGTTAGCTCAGTGCCAATCTTCCTCACAGAATGAATAAATAAATGGGAGGATAATGAAAAAATAGTCTCAAGATATTTACAGTATT